TTGGGTCCGGATCTGGTCATGGATGCTCTTGAGAAGGTAAGGATGATTAGGGAGAGGTTGAAAACAGCCCAAAGTCGTCAAAGGTCTTATGTCGATGTGAGGAGACAGGATCTTGAATTCAAAGTGGGTGATTGGGTTTATTTGAAGGTTTCTCCAATGAAAGGTGTGGTTCGTTTTGGTAAGAAGGGGAAATTAAGTCCTAGGTATGTCGGTCCTTATGAGATAATAAGAAGGGTTGGTAAAGTAGCCTATGAGTTGGGGTATTCCATGTATCGATGTTGAGGAAATGTGTTGGTGATCCTAACGCTATTGTACCTCTTGAGGTTGTGGGTGTTGTAGAAGATAATTTGACGTATGAAGAAGTCCCGGTTCAGATCTTAGATAGACAAGTTAAAAGGTTGAGGAACAAAGAAGTGGCGTCTGTTAAGGTGCTTTGGAGAAATCAACAAGTGGAGAGTGCTACTTGGGAGGCCGAAGCGGACATGCAAAGACGTTATCCTTATCTATTCAACTCCACTCAAGCCTAAGGTATTAAATCAAGTCATTTGTACTCCATCGAGTCTTACATTTCAGCCTCTGAATCATTAATGTGCATACATGTTTAAATTGATGAGTTATGGATGCTTTACACTAAGTTTTGAAATCTTAAAGTGATGTTTAAATAAAAATTTTGCATTCATGTTGGGGCTGATATGTTCTTACTAAGTCTTGCCTTGTACGTCTCTTCCACATTCGGGGACGAATGTTCCCAAGGGGGAGATATTGAAACGACCCCAAAAATGCCCGAAAATGTGCTTCGGAAACACCTATAATTGTAATTTCCATATATCTCAAAATCCATTTCGTTTTTCGAAAATCCGACTTCATATTCTTGTTTAGGGGGTCAAATTGAGTGGGAAATGGGTCTAACCCAAATTTTAGAGCAACCGTATCAAAATCCAAAATTTCCAAGTGAAGCCTTTTTCGAGGGTCTACTTTGGAGGGTCATATCTCCTAGCACACAAATTATTTGGTGGCCAATAATATATCCATGGAAATCCCTTTGAGTTAGCTATCTAACGCACTTCGTTTCACCTCATTCGGAGTTCGGACGAAGAAGTTATGCCCATTTTCGTAAAATCTTTCCGGCAGAAAAAGACAATTTCCAGTAGCTAATTTTACTGTTCACCCGCCCATTTTTTTTTCTAAGTGTTGGACGATTTTCTTCCAAAGGGCATATGTTATTTCCTATATAGCATTAGTTCAAATTTCATCTCTAAAACATTTCCAAAACACCTCTCCCATACTTAGACACATTTTCTCTCAAGTTCTCTCAAGAACCCTAATCCAAAACCTTCCTCAAGATTGAAGAGACTCTTGTTCCAAGTTGCAAGCTTCCATTGAAGACACTCTCAAGACCTTCATAAGAACTCAAGGTATGTGGTGTTGAACTCATGGGTCCTTCCACCCATAGTGCCTAGACTCTATTCTACTCACTAATTCATGGTTTAAGTTAAGATTCATATATTAGTCTTGTTCTTTGTAATAATTTCCTACACATTGAATTTTAAACATGAAAAGTGATTGTTTTGAGCATGTTGTGACCCTAGAACTTGAACCTAAATTTGGAATGGATGTGGAGATTTTCATGTGGTATTGTGGGTGTTAAAAAGGTGTTGTTGTAGGTTGTTCATTGGTTTGGCTGCATAATTACTACCCTATTTCCCATGCTCTTTGATTCCATTACATGCCTTCAAGGTGTTTGACAAAATGTCCAACTATGGAGAATTGATAAATTGATGCTTTAAAGCTTGAGTTATGAGATGTATGGAACTCCAAAGATGTGTTGATGACAAACTAAGCTTGTGTATATGTTCATTCCATACGTGAGATTGCATTAGAGCCTAATGAGAATTTCCTATATAAAGTGTTGCATGACCATGTCCGGTCCGGGGGAAAAGAACCGGACAACCATGTGAGAGGTTTATATCTCACCACCTAGGATGCTTGGGGTGTGACCAACATCAACCATGTGAGAGGTTTATATCTCACCACCTAGGATGCTTGGGGTGTGACCAACATCAACCATGTGAGGGGTTTATACCTTGCCACCAGGGTGTCCGGGTGTGAACGGCATCCCCCATCCTAAGTTGGGGTTATAGATTGGTTGGATCATGCATACACATATGATATCTACTATTAGTATAGATTTACTTAAACATGTTTTGACTTCACTTTGATTATGCATCCTCATATTGTTATTCATAATGCCTATGAAACTATTTCTTGTATTTCGATTGTGTCCTTGTTTATTGTTGTGTTGCACCCCGCATACTTAGTACATTCCAAGTACTAACGCATATTTTGCCTACATGATGTCACCATGTAGGGACCGGAGCTACTCTTGATCCTTCTCTCCATTCACGTGGCTAGTACGACGCTTATCCGAGTTTGTTGGTGAGTCCTCAATAATTCGAGGGCTATGTTATGTTTCTTACTCCTATGTTTTGAGACTTTAGCTTGCAATTGTATTGTTACTATGAGGGGAGCCGGTAATATGTCATGGCCCCCGTCCTATCTATGTATGTAGAGGTGTGCGTTGGACAAGTATTTTGTAAACGAGCTTGACTCTTATTCTATGATGTCATTTTGAAATGGTTTGCCTTAGTCCCTATTTCCCGTTAATTAATGTTGAATGTACTTCCGCGACCGATGAAGTGTGATGACAAGTTTGAGAGGCTTGTTTGGGGTTCCTTCGGGTTCCTCATTCGCCATGTCACCTCTAGGCCCTAGGCTTGGGTCGTGACAAAAAGGGTCATACTTTTTAGATGAACCCTTTTCCAGATAGACTAGTGGATCCATTAGGCAGTTCAAGTCTTATATCTTTTGCCGGGTGTAAGATGCTCTGGCAGCGTGAGGTCGATCGTTGTATCATCACTATAGATCTTAAGTGATGGTTGTCGGTTAGAGAAACTTCCACAGCAATTATTGTATTTCATACATAGAAATTATTGTATTTTTATATACATCAGTTCATTGTATTTCTATATACATCTCAGGCTTATTGTATCTTTGTATACACACAGAGTTTATAGTATGTTTTAAACAGTCTTTCTTTATATCGCACTTGCTTTAAATTGCCTTATATTGAAAGAAGTCAGTCAGGTTGACTTGAGTTGAGCCAGGTAAGATATTCAGTTTCTTCCAGATTTCCTTCTAGCCTTTGTTGCTTAGTTTTCCAACTCGCATACTCGTACATTCCATGTACTGATGCCAGTTGGCCTGCATCTTATGACGATGCAGATACAAGTACCCCGGATCAGCATCCTGCACGTCGTTGATCCAACTGAGCACTCCAGAGTCAGTGGTGAGCCTCCTTGCATTCCGGAGGACTCAATTATTTTGTATTCTTAGTTTTGTTTTATTAGGATGTTGCGGGGTCTGTCCCAACATCCATCTCAGTATTTTAGAGGCTTCATAGACAGTCAGTCAGTTAGTTTTGAGTCTCTCATCTACGTATATATGTAAATATTATATTTTGAGATTCGAGTTGCCTTTGTGGCCAGATTTCATAAGTTAAGTTGTTTTGTAAATCTTGCATTTGCATTGAGTTTTTCTGTTGAGTTAGGTTTCCGCTGAGTTAAGAAATTCCGGCCAAGGGTTCGCTTAAGGCCAGCAATGGTCTCCTAGTGCCGGTCTCACCCAAGGAGTAGGCTCGGGGCGTGACAATTACAGAACTTCTTGCCACAATTGCTAGCAATATGACCATATTTCTTGCAAATGTAGCATTGAGTTCTAGCCATATTCATGCCATTTCCTTTCCCTTGAGCTGCAAATGTAGCCGTGACAACATTTCCTTGATGGAAAACATTTTGTGTGAAGAGACGCTGCTCTTCACGAAGTAATTCCCTAAAACAGACATTCAACGAGGGAGATGGATCACGGCTCATCAAGTTGGAGCGAACACTTTCAAAGTCAGATCGTAATTTCATCATGAATTGATCTCGCTTGCTTTGTTCATGAACTTCTTGAATGATGGAGAGAGATTCAAAAGGTATTTTAGCATAAACGATATCGGTAAATTCAGCCCATAAGTTCTGAAATCCAGAGAAATAATCTTGAATAGAGAGACCTCCTTTAGAATACATAGCAATTTTATTCTCTAACTGAAAGCGCCTTGCACTATGGTCTTGGTTGTAAACCTTTCGTAAATAATCCTACATGGTCTCTGTTGTCTTGTATGGCCTGAGATGAAGAACAATAAGAGGGTCAATTGACCCTAAAATCCATGTCATCACCCGAGCATCTTTAACCTTCCATTGACCGAGCTTTGTAGGATAGGTAGGAGTAGGATCGCTTCCATCTATATGTCCCCATAATCATTTTTCGGTGACAAATAGTTGGAATTGAAATTCCCAGACAGAGTAATTTTTTCCTGTGAAACGAACATGGAAGGACTCAAACTGATATGACACCATGATCTTGACAAGCTAAGGAAAATAGAAATGTAATGATGCAAAATAACCAGAATGACCAAGACTAAGATTCCAAGACACTTTGGACTAACTGTTGACTAACAGTAAGCAGAACCAAAACTTTCAAAAAAAATTCTAAAAGGAACCACATATGAAAGACACTAAGAATTTAAGCACTGAAAAAGGCTCTAATACCGTGTCAGTTTTGATGAATGCCTCTCAAAGTGAGAGTCTTTCCATTATATAGAGAGAATAAAGACTACACATCCCTATAGATCTGTCATTCCTATCCCTAAAGATCAGCTATTCTATCTCTACAAATTTGCTATTCAATCCCTCTAAATCTGCTTTGCTATCCCTCCAAATCAGCCAATCTATCACAATACATATTCCTTTGATTCTACAACAAATCTATTTGATCATGCTATTTTATTTCACTACATAATTACATTAATATATACAATTGTTTAGATGTCCATCATGCTAACATGATGAAGACAAGGATGATCAGACTTATGAAGACTCTCAACTCTCCGAGCTAAATGAGGATGAGCAGACTGATGAATATGCTCAAATCTCCAAGCAAGATGAGGATGATCAGAATGATAGAGACTCTCGAATCTTCAAGCTAGCACATCTACTCTTGAAGATTATTCCAACTGAACTGGAGGTTATGCACATATGCTATACAAATTTGAAAGATTCAACTTCAGCAGAAATTGGACGCTTTATTAAGAAGATCATGGAAACCTCTCCGGACATTCTTTGGGAATATCTTATTCATCTACAAGAGCACATGATAACTGTTATTACCCCTAGCACTTTAGGGGATCGAAAAATTCATGTCATGATTGAGTTCCTATTAATTATTCTTTTTGATATGCCCAATGACTTTATTCATCATGACAAATTATTTGATTTTTTGGCATTTGTTGGAGCACTTATCAAAGAGGTATCAACTCTTGTTCGCGACTTAGAAGAGAAATTAAGGAATAAAGAGAGTACCGATGAGACAAATCGTGCAACCCTAAAGTTACTAGAAATTATTGAAATCCTCAAGGAAGATCTCAAACATGTTTATCTGAAAGTCTCAGATTTATCTCAATGTTGCTTCCCCATGAGTGATGGACCTCTCTTTATGCATCTGCTACAGAGACACTTAGATGATTTGCTGGATTCCAATGCTTATTCAATTGCTTTGATAAAGGAACAAATTAGGCTGGTGAAAGAAGACCTAGAATAAATAAGATCTTTTTCTGTGAATATTGAGCAAGAATGGTATAAAGATCTCTGGGCACGTGTTTTAAATGTGGCATATGAGGCAAAAGATGTCATTGATTCAATTATTGTTCGAGATAATGGTCTCTTACATCTTATTTTCTCACTTCCCATTACCAGAAAGAAGATCAAGCTTATCAAAGAAGATATCTCCAATTTACATGAGAAGATTCCTGAGAATAGAGGTCTCACTGTTCTGAACTCTCCCAAGAAGCCAGCTGAGCAAATCATTGACAACTGATAAAATAATTGTAGGTTTTGAGGAGAAGACAAACCTGATACTTAGAAAGCTAACCAGTGGACCGGCAGATCTAGATGTCATTTCTATCACTGGTATGCCGGGTTCAGGTAAAACTACTTTGGCATACAAAGTAAAAAATGATAAATCAGTTTCTAGCCATTTTGAACTTCGTGCATGGTGCACGGTCGACCAAGGATATGCCGAGAAGAAGTTGTTGGATAAAATTTTTAATCAAGTTAGTGACTCAAATTCAATATTGAGTGAGAATATTGATGTTACTGATAAGCTACGGAAACAACTGTATGGAAAGAAGTATCTTATTAGCTTAGATGACGTGTGGGATACTACTACATGGGATGAGTTAATAAGACCTTTTCCAGAAGTTGAGAAAGGAAGTAGAATTATTTTGACAACTCGAAAAAAGGAAGTGGCTTTGCATGGAAAGCTCTACACTGCTCCTCTTAATCTTCGATTGCTAAGATCAAAAGAAAGTTGGGAGTTATTAGAGAAAAAGGAATTTGACAACGAGAGTTTCCCTGATGACCTATTAGATGTTGGTAAAGAAATAGCCGAAAATTGTAAAGGGCTTCTTTTGGTGGCTGATCTAAATGCTGGAGTCATTGCTAGGAGGGAAAAGAAAAGGACTGTGTCGCTTGAAGTTCAAAATAATTTGAGTTCTTTTATTTTGAACAGTGAAGTGGAAGTGATGAAAGTTATAAAATTAAGTTATGACCATTTGCCACATCACCTGAAGCCATGCTTGCTTTACCTTGCAAGTTGTCCAAAGGACACTGCACTGACAATCTCTTTGTTGAAAGCTGTATGGAGTGCTAAAGGACTTGTGGAACAGATAGAGATGAAGAGTGTGAAAGAAGTGATGGATGTTTATATGGATAACTTAATTTCCAGTAGCTTGGTAATTCTTTTCAATGAGATAGGTGATGAACCGAGTTGCCAACCTCATGATCTTGTTCATGACTTTTGTTTTATAAAAGCAAGAGAGGAAAAGTTGTTTGAATGGATAAGTTCAAGTACACCATCTTCTTCTTCAGATTTGATGCCACGTATAGTGACCATTCATTATAACAGCGAGTTATTGGGGCTTAACAATTTTGTCCAGTTTGATTCAAATAAGAAAAGGCATTCTGGTAAACACATGTATTCTTTGACAGTAGTTTGTGACGACAGTGTTTCTGAAACATTTCAACTAAGACACTTGAGGCTTCTTAGATACTTGGACCTGGATCCCTCTTTTATCAAGGTGAAAGATTCTTTGCTGAATGAAATATGCATGTTGAATCATTTGAGGTACTTATGCATTAGGACAGAAGTTAAATCTCTGCCTTTGTCTTTCTCAAACCTCTGGAATCTAGAAATCTTGTTGGTGCATAATGAAGGATCAGCCTTCGCACTATTACCGCGAATTTGGGATCTTGTAAAGTTGCAAGTACTGTCCGTGAATGATTCTTCTTTCTTTGATATGGATGCAGATGGATCAATAGTGATAGCAGAGGACACAAAGTTAGAGAACTTGAGAATATTAGGGAAACTACTCGTGCTTTCCTATTCGAAAGATGCAAAGTATATTTTCACAAGGTTTCCCAATCTTCAAGTGCTTGTATTTGTTCTCAAGGAATCATGGGATTATTCAACAGAACAACATTGGTTCCCGAAATTTGATTGCCTAACTGAACTAGAAAACCTTAGTGTAGGTTTTAAAAGTTCAAACACAAACGACAGTGGGTCCTTCGTAGCAACAAATCGGCCGTGGGATTTTCACTTCCCTTCGAATCTAAAAAAATTGTGTCTACTTGATTTTCCCCTGTCAACCAATTCACTATCAACAATAGCGATACTGCCCAACTTTGAAGAAATGACACTTTATGATACAATCATCCATGGGGAAAAATGGAACATGGAGGAGGAAGACACCTTTAAGAATCTCAAATGTTTGAAGTTGCATAGAGTGACTCTTTCCAATTGGGTGGTTGGAGAGGAATCCTTTCCCGCGCTTGAGAAATTAAAACTGGAGGGATGTTGTGATCTTGAGGAGATTCCGCCTAGTTTTGGGGATATTTATTCATTGAAAATTATCGAACTTGTAGAGAGCCCTCAACTTGAAGATTCTGCTATGAAGATTAAGGAATATGCTAAAGATATGAGGGGAGGAGACGAGCTTCAACTCGTTGGCCGGAAGAATAACCCGTTATTTAAGTAGCATTTTATATGAACAAGTTCTTCTCCATTTTTTTGCTCTTCTGATTCCTGTAGTGGCAAATGTTAAAAGATGTCTACAATGTGTTTTTGAATACTAAATAGAAATATCATTGTTATAAACAAGTTTGAGAAATATACATAGCCTTATATTATGTCTCGACAATATACATCTGCCCCTGACCTATATCGTTATAGGTTTTGTTTTCTTCTTTCTCTTATAAACTACTCTTCTTCTCTTTTTTTGGGGATAATGTTTTGTAAGCGCCATTTGATCAATATATTGAAAATGACTTTTTATATGTCTGACTATATCTGCAGAATTGTGAGATTTACCGCCTAGTTTTGGAGATATTTATTCATTAAGAATTATCAGAGTTGAATGAATATATGACAGGAGAAGACAAGCTTCAGGTCCATGTACGCTAAAAAATATGTGAGTACAGATGAATTTATTACTTATTCCCTTTTTCTTCATTTGTTCTTTCAAGTTATTTACATATCATGTGTTTACTCTTCAAGTCCAGCTACATCACGACTCTTTGTACTATATGAAAGTTATTCTATATCTCAGTTTTTTCAAGATATACATTTATTGCTAATTCTTTGGTGCTTCAGTCTCAAAGAGGGAAACAAGTCTCGTCGATGAAGTAATTGCATAGCTGGCAAATGTAACCAGACAAAGCCTGGCTTAAACATATGCAACAAATCATGATCGATGCCTCATTCGTTTGTTTGATTGGTTTTTCAACGGATGGCGGGGCTGAAGTGTGTAACTTCTCCTAGTTGTCCTTGTTTTTGTTGTTGGTCAGGGAAGCTTTTTCGGAGGAGCAACGATTTTTGTGTGATATTAATTCTCACTTATTCATTTATTGTAATGCAAAGAACACAAAGTAAAATATGTTACAAAGAAAGTAAATTTTCTGTTCCAAAGCAAAACAAGAGTTTCTGTAGAATGTGATGTAATGGCCTTTAATTCCATTAACATTCACAATGTGTTATAAAAAATTAACTCTTGACTCTACAATAACTCCTATAGAAATTTCATTTATAAGTAGTGCCTTTGTGAATGCTAAGAAACCAACAAAAAGGAAAATAAAACATTTCCCTCCTTTCTTCTTATCTTTAGAATATTTTTGGGCAATTGGTTTTAGGCAACCTCCAAACTCTCAGTCACGAGTGCACGTGTTTGAGAGTAACTGTGGAACCTTGGGGAGCGACCGGCTACAACGATTTGCACTGAAGTCGAGCCAAAATCGCTTTCATGGCAGTGGCTTGCCACGACACAATGTTTGTGATAAGTTATTTACTACTTTATAATTCCAATCTAATATCAATATTGTAGATATTTTCCCAACAATTTGAAAGCGATTTACTAACATACAATATTGATAAATGGTTATTTCTTTGAACAAAACTTTTTCTGATTTCTCAAAACTTGAGCCTTTGGATGGAAATAATTTTAAACGATGGTCACAAAAACTTTTAATTTTCTTTGAACAATTAGAAGTTGATTATGTTTTATTTAACGAACCTTCTATGAATGGTTCTAATACTACTATTGATTCTAGCAATGTTATGGTTGTTGATGATGTTGCTAAAAAGAAGTTTGAAAAGGATAACAGAACTGTGAGAGGACAGTTGCTAAATCATACGACTAATCCTTTATTTGATTTATTTGTTACTTATAAATCTGCCAAAGAAATATGGGATAGTTTGAAAAAGAAATATGGTGCTGATGATGCAGGAAAGAAAAAATATGTTGTTGGTCAGTGGATTAAATTCCAAATGGTTGATAATAAGCCAATAATGGAACAGGTTCACGAATATGAGAACTTGACTGTTGATGTTCTAAACGAGGACATGAAGATGTGTGAGATATTTCAGGCTAATGTTTTGCTTGAAAAATTCCCACCATCTTGGAGTGATTATAGAAATCAATTAAAACATAAGAAAAAGAATTTAACTCTCCAAGAACTTATTAGTTGTATGAGGACTGAAGAGGCGAACCGTCTCAAAGATAAGATGGAAGAACTTTCTTTTAATTCTTCTAAAGCTAATCTTGTTGAATCTTATGGTACTGTTGTGAAAGACAAGTTCAAAGGAAAACAGAAGAAAGTCTCAAAAAAGGAACATATGAAGAAGAAAAATCAATTCAACAAGCCGGAGAGTCAAATTCAAAAATTTAAGGGTCCTTGTTTTGTTTGTGGAAAAGTTGGTCACGGGGCTGCCAAGTGCTATCAAAGAAAAGGGCAAGACTCAAAGCAAGAAGGAAAGAGTGATGTCCAAGCTCATCTTGCTGAGGGTAATGAAGTGATTGATGTTGTAGTCGTTGAGGCAAATCTAGTGTCTAACAAAACTGACTGGGTGCTAGACACAGGCGCTTCAAGGCATTTCTGTGCTAATAAGAATTTATTCCATGACTTTGAGGAGTCCACTGATGGAGAGTGTGTTTACATGGGTAACTCCACTACTGCTGGAGTTATGGGTAAAGGAAATTTTTTACTTAAATTAACTTTTGGAAAAACGTTATCCTTGAACAATGTTTTGTACGTTCCCTCCCTCAGTAGAAACTTAGTTTCCGAAGCACTTCTCAACAAAGTAGGCCTTAAACTTTTTTTTGAAGCTGATAAAATAATTATTTCCACTACCAAAAAATGCTCATTTTTTAGCGGCTAACTTGTGGGAGTTTTTAAAAGTCCCACTAATAATTCATTTTGTGGCATTTTATTATAACCCCCACAATATAAATATTTTTATGGTGGTTTTATTAAGGAGGTTAGAAAATCGCCACAATTTAATATTATTTATTGGGATTATCGAGCCCCAAAAATTTAGTAGATTAGTTACATTTAGAAATTAATTTATATAATATAATATAATATAATATAATATATAGTATTTTTTTCAAATTATATAATATATAACATTTAATGTTGAAAGTTAATTTTATTATATATATACATACACACGAGACATCCTTCTCCTTCTTTTATTTTAACTTGATTGTGATTTTTTTATCCTCTATTTCTTTTATATATTAAGATACTCTTCGAATGTTTTTTTACTTAGTATATGCAATTTCACTTAGACATTTATCTTATATAGTAATACTTTAATTTATATTATTTAGTGATTTTTGTTGTCTCATAACACAAAAATTTAAATTTTATAACTTTTAAAGCTAAGTCAATAGTAATATTTATATATATTTATTTGTATTTGTATTTTAACTTTATTTAAGATTTTATAATACTAGTTGAGGGTGAAACATTTTAATTAATAGTTAGTACTTATCATTAAAAATTAAAAATAAAAGCTTGTTTTATGCACAAAATTCTTTTATCTTTCATTTAGATCCAACTCAATCAAAATTTTAATACATCTCCCTCCAAAATTTAAAAAAAAACAAACTAAAGACTATAATTCCCCCTAAAATCATTCAAACATAATCAAATAACCACCCCCTCCCACCCATTCCTAAATCCCACGTAAACAACACACAAATACCTTTTTTTTCTTTCTCCTTAACTCATTTCTTTTTCCCCTTAACCCATTAATTCCCACGTAAAACACACACCCTCCCCTCTCCTCTCTCCTTTTGTCTTTCACTCTTCCTTACTTCATTTTTTTATATGTAGTTTTGCTAATTATATTTTTCATTGTAGGCTTTGCAAAGTGGAATAGAGGAAAAATAATTCATTATTTGAATACAAAGGTAATTTTGTGTTACGCGAGTTTGATGATTCATACTAGAATTTGAAACTCATATTATTATTTGATCATTTTATATTTTGCAAGTTGTTAAACTTACTGAATCAATGTTTTTTTTTACATATTTCAGATTTTGTTTGAATTCTCACTACATCGTAAAGTCGTCTATATCCAATCATTGATTGATTTATGGTAAATCATAATTTTATTTTTGTTTAGTTAAGAATCACGTAATCATTTTATTCTTGATTGGATCGACTATTACAAATTAAAGGACATTTTTTCATATTAGATTGTGATCGATATCAATATAACTTTAAAATTATGTATTTTCTTATTCAGTACGATAAATTGTTGAAGTTATGATTACTTTTTGGTAAATGAAAGAAAAAACTAAGGTCAAAGAGGAAAGTCTAACTTATAAATCAAGAGAAGTGAAAAATACTTGAACCAACGTGTTAAATCGAATGAGCAATCATTATATGATTTTGGAAAATATAAACCTAGTAAACTTATGTAGAAATAATCATGAAGTTGTTGTTATTCACTTTATTAGTGTGTATGAGAGAACATCAAAGTAAATTTCTTTCATCCATAATCTTATAATTATTTGTAAAATCAAAGCTTTATATGCTTTGCTTTTGAAATGAATTGAATTTTAATACTTTTTTATCAAGATGTACGAAGATATATGGGTATCAATATATGTTTATCTGATTATATATAATGTTTTCATTGTTTCAGCCTGATGCAGAGAGCTTATGTCACTTTGGATAAAAAGATTGGACGACAACAACATAAATCACCAAACAAGTGCTACAAATTTTTTGTTATGTTTATTTGATGTGGATTTTAAAAAGATTTAACATTGTTATGTTAAAATTATTATACACAAGTTTGTATTACTTTTATTTGACATAAATTTGAATTTGTGAAACTTATTAATATAAACTTGCTTAGTGAAATTTAATTTGCTTTAAATGTGTTATTTAGTAAAATTACTTATTATTCTGAAGAATTGATGTAAATCAAATTTAAAACTACTTATTATTTTGAAGGCTTGATGTAAATAAAATTTCACATTTATTATTAAAATAATAATTTTGTAAGACTCCACAAATCAAATTATAAATGTAAATTTTAATTTAAAGCCATGACAGTTTTAAATCCACACAAATTTGAGTTTAAAAATATTGAAATCATATTGTGAAGGTTCTAAACCATCAAAAATTGTATCGGAAAACCTCCACAAATTTAAAAGTCATTTTGCGGGGGACGTTGTGGAGGTTT